TATATATAGTGGTAGTCGCTGCTGTGTACCTTTTTACATTTTAAATTACTCAGATAATTGTTAGATATACTATATATTTTTGCATTCGTCCAAGTTATACCACCCACGCGCGTATTTCTTATTTCACTGTAAACAACATTCCTCCAATTATTAATTATTTGTCGGGAATAAAAATTATTTATATTGGCATCATTTGCTGAACATTGATACATCTTCAATTGTATGAATGAAGAATATATCACTTTACCGAATAAAAAATATGGAACAGGAAGAAAGTTTCTTTGTATTATTTATATTATAACAAATTCATGTATCAATACATTAGTATAAGCTATCACAAGTAAGCTTACATACATACATACATATTCGTATCGATCCGACTGTAAATTTAATGGCCAAGAATGTGCACAAAAATTCTGTGGATTACAGCGTTTTCTTAACTCGCATAGAAATGCCAAACGAAACTTAATATAGTATTATCATGTCTCGTGGAAATTTCTTATACAGAAATATATATATCAAATTACTCGACAATCATTCTGAAGAATGAGGAAGAAATAACACATTATTTCTGCCATTTCCGTTATTTTTGCAATTCTGAGTAATGGGAATTGATAGACTCTGTAAGGTTTTATCCTACATACGCTCCTAGACAATCGACTTTCTCTGAGAAGTAATTCTTTTTATTGCGTTACATGAAATAGCATCGCTAGCAGGCAATTGTCCCATTATCCATAACAGAAACTCGAATTTCTTTAAAATCCTATAACAGACAAACAAATAGTCACCACGTTTCAGGCTTACCTCCTTGACAAGGGTGTAGTTTTGCAGATTCGGTTTTAGTAAATAATTCATATTTATCCGTTCCGATGGTGTATGATGACGATGATGTCGCAGGGATAATTACGGCTCAAAGGATACAGTAATTCCCTTAACAGTGTTTCTTATTCGGATGTGCAGAAAACAATAGCCAAGGACTACTGATACTTCAGTCCTGCATCTCTTCTGGTATTTCGTGAGGATTAAGAATACCCGGTACAGCCATTTGCTGTCGTCTTTTTTCTTCTTGTGCTAGCCGTAGAGCCGTTTCCCGTTCCTCCAAGTAAAGTTCTGAGTCGTCTTCGCC